TATATTGTGAAAGAACCAAATCTATTTCATTGACTCTGTGGTTTGTTGTGGTGTTGAGCTGCTTTCATTTCACTGATTGCATTAATGTCAGTGTTTTTTTTTCCAGCTAATGATTTTGGTGTTTGACTTATTCCTTTTCTACAGCCCTAATGTAAATCATTAACTAAATTATTGGACATCTCTTTAATTTCTTTGTAGGAAGACTGACCTTTAAACATCTCATGTTCCTTTTCTACAGCCCTAAGGTGAATCATTAACTAAATTATTGGACATCTCTTTGGCTTCTTTTTTGTTATTTTGGTTATTTTTGTTTTTTTCAGAGCTGAGGAATGAACCCAGGGCCCTGTGCTTGCTAGGCAATCGTGCTGCCACTGAGCTAAATACTCAATCCCCGCTTAGATTTCTTAATATAGGAACACTGACCTTTAAACATCTCTCTTAGAACTGTTTACATGGCATCTCACAGATTAAAGGATGTTGGAATTTAATTTTTATTTTATTGAAGGAGGCTCTCTGCTCTTGATTTCTTTAAGAAATGATTCATAATTATGTCCATGAGTTTGTTTACTTTCTAGAGTTTCTCTTCTTTATTTGTTGTCATTTTATTGTTGTTAGGTAGAATATAAGGAAATATTTTAGTTTCCCCCTACTTGCTCAGATGTTCTTTGTATCGTAATATATGATCTAATTTAGAGTAGTTCCATGGACTGCTGAGAACAAGGAGTATTATGCAGTGTTTGGATAAAACATTCACTAGATGTATTTTAAGACAATTTTACCTGCGATGTCATTTAATTTGGTTTACTCTCTATTGGGATGAAGTGTTAATTGTTGGGAATGAAACTACTATTACACCTGGTGATATCTGTGGCTTTACATCTAATAGTATTTTCTGTATACAACTAGGTGCACATGTGTGTGGAATTGTACAATTCTCTCCATGAAATGTTGCCTTAATAAGTAGGAAGTAGCATTTATCTATCATTTCTCACTAGATTTACTTTCAAGTCTATTTTGTCAGATTAGATCAGCAACACTTGGTTGTTTTCTAGCTCCATTTGCCCTGAACACCTTTTTTCATCACTTCGTTGTAAAGTTATATCTGCCTTTTATGATGGAGTACAACATTCCAATCTCCTAGCCTGTGTTTTTTAGTTGGGAATTGACATTAATATTCAGTTACTAGTGAAAGGTGCCTATTGCTTATTGTCATTTTGATGATTTTGCCAAGGGGCTCAAGCTGTTTTCTTGTTTAACTGTGGTTCTAGTTTGCTTTAAGAAACAATGTAGGAAAAAAAAGTATTTATCTGGCTTCCACTTTCTGATCACAATCTATCAATGGGAAATGTCTGGGAATTATCTCCAGAAGGAACTGAAGTAGAATCTGTTTTACTATTCTTCTTGCTAACTCACTCAGTTTTCCAGGCTAGGTTGATTCCTCATACATCCCAGGACCAGCTACCTATGCTGTGGGCCCTAACACATCAATCATTAATGAAGACAACAACTCAAATTCCAGGTCACAGGCCAATCTGATAGGATTGACCTGATTGAGACTTTCTCTGATAATTCTAGGTTGTATCAAGATGATGGGTAAAGTAATTTTATGCTTGCTGCAGTCTTGTGGACACATCTGTTTTTTTTTTCTCTTCAGTCTAAAAGGCTTCTATAAATATATTTTGTAGAGCCACGTTGATGGGTATAAATTCATTTTGCATAATTTTAGCATGTAAAATTTTATTTCTCCTTGAGTTATGACAAGAAGGTTGGATGGGTACAGTATTTGGCATTGGTTGTCTTTTATAACTTAAAATATAGCTTCTAGTTCCTCCTGAATTTTAAAGTCACTGTTAAAAAAATTCTGTTATTCTGACAGATCTTCCCTTACATTTGACTTGGTATTTCTCTCTTGTCAATTTCAATGTACTTTCTTTGTTTAATTATAATATTATGAAGGGAGGTTCTTTTGTGCTCCTGTCTATGTGGTGTTTGAAATTCTGCCTGTATCTGAGTTGGCATCTGTTCTAACAAAAAGCATCTTAGAGAAAAAAGGATTTGTTTTGCTTACAACTCAAGGTTTAAATTTATGATTGATGAGAAGTTTGGCAGGAAGTTAAAGCATTATGTCCACAGTCAAGATCAGAGAAACAATAAAGATGTTTACCCTTGCTTTCTTGCCCACAGCTAGCTTTCTCTTTCCTTATGCTTTTCTAGATCCTGTAAGTAGGGAATAATGCTCCATCCTTCTACACTATCAATGAACTATCAGCACAGCCCTTCAAAGACATGCCCACAGGTCAATGAAATCTAGAGTATTCCTCATTAAAAATCTCTTTCAAGTTAGTTATAGCTTGTGTTAACACTAAGAGCTACTAAATACAACCTCTCTTTTCCTAACTACAGGAAATGATCTTAAAAATGTTTTCTATAACTATGAAACTTAGATTTTCATCTTTTCACAGTGTGACCCATATATTGGAATTTCCACTCCTATCTCCTTGTTATGTTATCTTTGTTTTTATTGGATTGTCCCAAGTAATCCACCTTGCCTTCACACTGTATTTTTTCCTTTTAAAATATCTTATTTATTATGATCTAGTGTGTATGTGTGCATGAATGTCTGTGTGAGTACACATATCTCACATAACATTTGTGAGAACCTGAGAACAACTTTGTGGAGTCAGTTGTCTACATCTAATGTATGTGGGTTACAGAGACAGTTTGGTCATAAGGTTTGTATGATAACCACATTTGTACCCATTGTTTTTCATAATACCACCATTCCCCTTTGTATCTCTATTTGCTTCATTTGCTGTTTATTTGTTATGTAGATCACTTGTGCTAATTTCTACTCTTCCTTGTTGTGCAATAAAGTTGTTTTCATAACTTAATGTTTAAAATTATGTCATTAGGTACTGGAGAGATGCTTTGGTGCTCAAAAGAACTTGATGCTTTTTAGAGGAGGGGAGTTTGTTTCCCAGTCACACAAGTGACTCACAATTTTTCATAACTCTTAGCTTCAGGGGAAATGTCACACTTCTCATCTCTGCAGATGCATAAACACACAGACTCAGACTCGACTCATATGAAAACACACAAACATATACCAAAAGAAAAAACAAAATATTTCAAATTATTTCATTAACTACAATTTTTAGGGCCTTGCATTTTCTCTGAATGCTCATCTCTCTCTCTCTCTCTCTCTCTCTCTCTCTCTCTCTCTCTCTCTCTCTCTCTCTTTCCCTTTACCCCACTTCTCTTTCTGTACTTGAAGAGTTATTCTTCTGATTTTGTTAATTGTGATTATTAATGATGTCATACAACATTGAGTCATTCATTGGTATCACTCAACTGGTTGTTATATTGATGAGAATCATTCTTCCCAACATCATATAAAATGCCATTCTTCCCATCTCTGTCATTAAATCTTTGTGTTTTTCTAGGACACTTCACCAGGAGGCAGGTACTTACTTGTGTGTTTACTGACCATTACTCCCTACTAACACTCAGATCTTGAGGTTGTTTGTTGTTGGATACAGTCACTAGCTCTTATTACTTGATACACATAAATTAATATGTAACAAATATGCAACAAAATAATATATATGCAGGCTGATTAGTATAGTGCAAGTCTGAAATCAAAACATTCATGGTATGGATTCAAATGATTCAAATGAATCCTTTGTAGTAGGACAGGCCCACAGGGTCGAGGAAACTGGCTCATACAAGCTGCTATGGCATGCACATAATGTATTTCCTTATGACCCAACCTGGAGTCTGCCTGAAGGCCTAGAAACAGTTGCTTTCAGAGTTTCTAGTCAGTGTCAGAGTTACTGATCCTGCAGAGTCTACCTGAGGGTCTAGCAACAGGCACTGTCAGAGTGCCTGGTCTCTGTCAGAATTCCTGATTGTGCAGAGGCTGCCTGAGGACATAGCCACAGGCACTGTCAGAGTTCCAGATCATACCCAGCCAATGAGGGACAATCATGCAATGCCACCACATTGTGACACAGACTGGGTTCTATGAAGAGGATGTATAAAGCCTTCCCCATTACTTAATAAATGAGTTTGTTGTTTGCCTTCAACTGACTTCTGGTGTCTGTGCCAATGACACCACACCTTCTCACCACCTCCCCCAAGGGAGCTGTTAGGATAGAGCAACAATTCTGGTCTGCACACTGAGACTGAGGTAGCCTTGTTGACATATCTTTTCAATACCTGCCTCCAAATAAGCACATATCTTTTTAAATGTGCTAAATATACGTCATTGGCTTATTTTTGGTGCTTGCACTAATATGCTTTTGGCTTTTTGTTTGTTTTTAGACAGGATCTATTGTATCCCAGGTTGGATATAAATTCTCTATGTACAGGAAAAATGTAAAGAGAGCTCTAGACCAAGAGCAGTAAGGACACTATGACTGTTGAGAATACATCACAGTAGCTCTAGAAATGTAAATGAAGTTTTGGGGTGAAGGTGGAATAACATTCCTGGAAGATCTTTAGTAGTCTGTGTTTAGGAGGCTAGGGTATTGAGGAGTAACTATTGAGAAGTCTTGCAAACTTAGAGGTAGATCCAGGGTAAGGTGATGTCCTTCCAAAAGAGTTAAGATACATCTTTAGACATGATGGTCATATAAAGTTCAAGCATGGCCATGCAAAGACCCCTTTGGCTTACTGTATTGGTATGATATTTTCCCCAAAATATGCCTTCATCATTGTAGCCCACCAGGAGGATGTCTCTATAAGGCAACAAGGTAAATCTGTGAGATGATGAGTTTACTAATGAAGTTGATTTAATCAGCTCATTATCTGTGTGTATGTGCCAAATGTCACATTGAATAGTGTAAATACAGGTTTGATTTTTTTCTTAGTAAAGCTGTCTGGCATTTGCAGTAAATGGAAGAATATCAGACAGAACTCACTTTCATTTTTTATAATCAGTGTTTTCCTCCGCCCTTGACAAAGCGGCACTTGGATTATGGTTTCTGCATACCTGTTCCTGGCTGTCCATGTGAGAAGGGACAACTTTCTGCTGATGATCTATGAAGACATGAAAAAGGTAACTGTCATTCCTACAGCAATCACAAAGCCTCTCAAAAACTTACTCATGCATCACCTCACATTCTTAAGTATCTCCATGTCAGTATTAGGTCAATGAAGAGTCAATAAAAGTGAGAATATGTCCCATGTCCTTTATTGAGCTGCATCTGGCATTTTCTCTCCAGCCTCCTAGTCCATCACCCACAACTTTTTTACCCTGCTCCACTCTGGGGTAGGGTGGGGTAGCTCAAACTTGTACTATAGGATTTTGGGATCTGTCTATGCAACACATTCCATACACATAATAACCTAGTGGTCAGTGGGGAATGGATAAAGCAGTGTCATTCCACTGTTGAGCCCAAATGCATGTCATCCCCTCTTGATAGCAAGAAGAGAGACAAAAGCAGGAAATCCGTCTGTGAATCCAGGGAGAGCACAAGTGCTGAAGTTTCATGAACAGCACTGAGTGATACTCACATCTGACTAGGCAGGTACAAGATGTAGCCAGTCAGGGATGACTGTGTACTTTGCTCTGCAGTACAGAGGTTTCTGCATGGTGTGCTAGAATACACTGGAGATTTCAAAACTCTTAGCATAGAATATATAAAATGCTGCAATACTTACAAATGACATATGTCTAAATAGAGTGATAGGCCATATCCTTATCAGATCATTGCAGGTTTCATTTCATTCAAATGCCCAACAGACAGTTAGCAATATGTTCAAGTATTGTGTATGTGTCTAACATATCTCTCATTTTAAACATTAAAAAATATATCTTGGCAAGGCATCACATGACTCTAAAACTAGCACTGGGAGAGAGAGAGTCAGAGTCAGGGATTCTAGGTTATTCTTGTTTGTATAGTGGATTTGAGGTCAACCTTGGCTAAAAGAGACAGCAATTCAAAAGATCATTAATTAAAATAATTTTAAGGTCATTTGTGTTTTTTATTTTCATTTAGTTAAAAAATTCTTCCTCTACTGATGGACACATAATAATGACACCAATCATATAAGCATAAAAATATTCACATCTGATCAGCAACTCAAAAGTTAAAGTAGTTTGGAAGTTGTCAGTGAAAGGTAATCATCACTTATATATAACAGATAAAAATATCAATTGTAATTTTTACTGAACAAGAAAGAAGTTGTGCAGTCTATCAGAGAAAACACTTGCCCATCCTTAGAATAGTTCAAAAAATTAGTTAAGGAGGAAAAGTAGCAGTCTTACAGCCACTGTGTACCTTTGAGAAATAAACTCTGGTAATGATGAAGGTTAATGATAGCTGTAACTTCTTTGTTTTCATTTTTATTTCTCTTACAATTTTTTATTATTTAAAACAATTTTTAAATTTAAATACATTTTGATCATATTCTTTATCTCCCAAATTTTTTTCCAAGTTTTCTCTTTCTCCTTACCCACACAAACTTAAATTCTTTCTGAAAAAAATCTAAATAAAACAAAATTCCTCCTGAAAGAAAACAAAACAAAACAAAAATAACCAAAAAGAAAAAAAAACACTGAACTGCAACCAAATACAAACAAATAAAAGCACACACAAACACACGCAGAAATAAAACTGTGGAGTCTATAATGTGTTGGTCAACTACTCTTTCACATGAAGACTTTCCTGGAGTGGTTGATATATCCAGTGCAACTACATTGGAAACAGTTGATTTTTCCTCTACCAGTAGGTATAAATGACAGTTCAGTTGTTAGCCTTTATTCTAGTGCCTTGATTTTCATGCATTAATTTTTTAAAAATATAACAAAATAAAGTAAAATATGATAAAATAATATTATGACCTCACATTTGAACTAAACATACCAACAGAAGGAAAACAGCACAAGAGAAGGAACAAGCATAAACCCACATGTTTGAACATTCAGGAAGTCCATAAAGTCACTCAATTGTAGACCCTAACATATAAGCAGACTATTAGTGCAGACTGGTGTGGCACTTCTCATGCTGTTCCAAAATGTGGGTCCATATGAAATTTTTTATTTTGATATGGATGGTCATATTTTCTTAGTGTCCTCCTTCCTCTCTGGCTCTAACATGCTTCTTCTTCTTCTTCTTCTTCTTCTTCTTCTTCTTCTTCTTCTTCTTCTTCTTCTTCTTCTTCTTCTTCTCCTCCT